CCAATGGTTGCACACTTTGGGAGAACTATCACTACGAGGACTTCCAGTCCCACCAGGATTGGAAGACCATGAAGTCACCAATTAAACAGAGGTCAGCCCTCTCACAAAGGACATATTACATTACACCTTTAGACCTTGGAGTTCTCGCTTGAGAACTTCGTATTACAGCCGTAGTCACAGTCCCCAACTAGACTCTCGGTAACCTTTCCTCTCCCTAACCCTCACTAAATTGGCCTCACTCAGTCTTGCTGACTTAAGCATCAGAATACCTACGGCAAACAGCGCCCCGGTGTTTTCCGTCTGCTTCATGCTTGTTTTCTCACGTGTGCAGGTGCAACAGATTACTAGTGGCCTCAACCTCACTGGATCAGTTCCTCTTTCCGTAACAGTAGATTTTTGCATCTACAATATACATTGAACAATAGTACTGTGTCAATATTGATTGGATTAATTATTATAAGAATTCACTTAATAAATGAAATATTTATACTTCAAGATTATTTTCTAATTAAAGATTAGTCAAATTTTATTAAATTTTTTTCTTTTTTAAGGCTCTAACAGAAAGTACATATTCTATGATTTGTATTAACTATTTTTCTTTGTTAATATCCTTTCAATAATATATATATAAGATAATATAAAAAGAGATTATATTCGTTAGTTTCAAAATTTAAAAATAGTACACATTCTATTTTAAGATAACTACAATTAATTTTAATAATAATACTACTCATCCCAAAATATATCCCAAGAATCACATCCCAAATGATGTGTTAAATGAGGCAATGCCATGTATAGTGATTTTTGGGATATGTTTAGTATTACTCATTAACTCAATGTATTGGGGTTTACTAGTCACTTATAATAACATGTAAATCAGACGACAGGGGTATTATAGACATTTTATTAAAAAGTTTCACTTGATTGGATTAAACTGTTTTTATCTCATAATATTGAAGATAAGTGTAATATACTTCAAACTTTAAGGATATGGAAGTGAAAATAACCCTTTTTCTTGAACGTTATTTTATCATGTTACCCAAACCTAGACCTACCAAAACGGGTTCGGACCCGTAGGTCGACCCTAAACTCAGGTAAAAAATATAAGGTACGAATCTTTAATTTTGGACCCATTTTTACTCAACCTGTACTCGGCCCGGCTCGTGTTTCCAACAGGTAAGACGGGTACACCCACAGGTACCCATTTGTTTTTAAAAAAAAAAAAACTTTTCACTTTTCAATTTTCCCCAAATCACGAAATCCCTAACCCTCAATAGACATTAGTCCTCTCTCAAACTCAAATCGAAATCCCTAATGCCACCATCAACACTTCTCCCGTCTCCACTCTCGATGCCTGCAGTCTCTCAAACTCACTCACACAAACGCAAATCAAAATCCCTACTGCATCTCCAATCGTTGCATTTCCAGACTCCAATCTCCAAGTCTCCAATCAAAATCAAAATCCAAGGTATGTGTATCCTAACTCACACTCATTCTCGTCTTTAACACTCACTCACTCTGTCACTCACTCTCATCCTCTGTTTAGCTCACTCACACTCATCTCCAAACTCCAATCTCCACATCTTGCTATTGTTTTGCTCCTCAAGGACATCGAACTATTCTTTAAATGATGGGAGCGCAAAAGCATATTGATTTGAAGGGATAAAAGATGAAGGAAGGTCTTGGCTAGTGAGGTCTGGCAATCCTAGTAGAGATATAGAAAATGATGGGTCTTTAATGTTATTCCTTATAATATCACCATAACCCTTGAAGTAATAATAATAAATATCTAACATGGTGGTTGTTTGGTTCCAAAAAAGTGTAGTTGGGATGCCATTATTTTCTTTTTGCACCTAAGTACACAAGTGTTGGTGTTTGCAATGAGAAGTGTGATGTTTTCACTTTTGGTGTATTGCTACTTATTCTGTTGACTGTACAAAAAATATTCGATTCTTCTTGTTGTGAAAATGGGGATGATTCGTGGTTATTGCTGCATGTGAAGAATTGTATTGGTCAAAATGATAGGTTTATTGAGATAACAGATCTTCTAATTGTTCAGTAAAGAATATATAATGTGCGGTTGTTGTAAGGTGGTGTCGTGGTGGGGTTGTTTTGGTTTAGATAGTTGTGTTGTTGTTGTTGGCTACTGCGTTTGGATGTAGAATAAAATGTGTAGTGATATGGTTTTGATAGTTGTGTTGTTGTTGTTGTTGTTGGCTGCTGCGTTTGGAACTTTGGATGTAGAAATAAAATGTGTATTGATGTTTAATCTTACGTTATTTTGCCCCTAGAATAACTCATTAGTACAAGTTGGATTATTCCTTTCCCATCTCACTAAGGTGAAAAGAGATGCTCATAAAGAAGAAGAATAGGTTTCCTTTAATCTTTTGAATTTTATTGTATGGTCTTGGAGTTTAATATAAACTGAAGCCAAAACAAAGCTTATATTTTTCTGTTTGATTTGTATGAAAATTTTGGACATCATACATTCATGTCTTTGATTGTTTTTAAGTTTATAGTGTTTGGCATGCCTTTAAATTATTGATTTTTTTTTCAGGAAGTCTCAAGCATTGATTGTAGGGGTGTAATTGTAAAAAATGAGAACTGTAAGAATTTTGGGGGTGTAACTACAAAAATTAAAAATTGGAGAGAGGAAAAATGGGTACCCGCAGGTCCACCTAAACCTGCATAGGGTAGAGTCTGGGCCTAATATTTTGGATCCATACTTGTTTGGACCCAACCCTAACTCAACTCACCCGCTTGTTTTGCCACGTCTACGGCCAAACCCGATCCACTACAAGCTTCCCCCAAATTATTTTTAAGTTTTTCAAATCAAACGGTGAAATATAATATTATAGAATTCTTATAAGTAATTTTGTACGAGAATATTAGACCATATACCTAAATGCATAAAGTTTCATCTAATAATTAGACAATGTATTATCTATTATGTGAAATATAATTAATCTTTCCACTAAAGTTTCATCTTGAAGCCGTCTACAAATATTAATAAAGCATGAGGCATGACAACACCACATTTTACCGTTAAATTTTATAAATTTATATTTTAAAAATTTAAAAGTAGTATTAGCTCTATTGAATTTTAATATAAAGATTAGGGGACAAAAAATGAGACTATTTTTTTTTTTTTTTACATTGAATGATAATAGAAATTAGGAAGAATACTATAGCAAGTACGTTAAAATTTTAAAAAATAAAATAGGTAATCAAAATATTACATCTTATTTATTATATTTTTTTTTTTGTACTTTATTACAAAAAATTACTAAAGTATATTTAATTAAAAAGTCAAACTGGTCAAACAGACCAAATTGGGTTCGTGTCATGTTATCAAGTCGAGTTCAATTTTACCGGGCATAATTGTATATAGAAACTGATCAAATTCGTCCCCATAAATTCAAGCGTCTCTCTTGGCCCTCTCAATTGTTGAACTTACTTTGGCCCCCAAAAATGAAGTTTTTCTGGTCCCCTAAGTCATTGAACATTACATTTTGGTTCCCAAGACAAGAAGGCAAGAATAAATTTGTTGGCCCTCTGGCTGTGGGTAAACTAACAATTACTTAAAAAGGGTGGCAAGTTGCACAACTAAATCACAAATCTATTCACAATAAGTTAACAAATTAAGTGGGCTTGATCTATGTTGTCACCTTGATGTTGAAATTGGCACCCAAATGGAAGCTGTGGTCAAAGGCATGGATTTCCAGTACAGAGTAAGCTTCCACTTCTCATTTTGCACCCAATAGCCTCCTCTGAAGAGACTCACCAAGGACTTGGCTTGGGAAATGTTGCAAAAACTCAAAGTTATTGGCTTGAATTCTCTTAAACAATCAAACCCTTTTCCCCATTGCCTTTTCTCTTCATTTGTAGAAGGAAATTGGCCCAAAGTGTCAAGAATTCTGATCCCTATAAACTCCTTTTCTATCTGTCTTAATCCTGCTTCACGGTTCTTGCAAAAACTGCTCACAATTCGGCCCACATATGTTTTAATCTTTTCATTTTAACCCATTTTACGTGTTTAATTAATCCTAACTATGCCACGTCATCTTCTCTAAATTATAAAATATTTGATGAATAGTTTCAAGGCCATTTTCTTAAATACATACTTGGGGGGACCGGGCAGCTAAATTTTCTCGTCTTTTTAATAACTTCCCCCTATGTAATGTTGATTCCCGCCCCACAATCCTACCCAAGTGCCCTAAATTGGCCCAAAGAAAACCCCCCACTAAAAGCATCATCATTACCATGACGCCCATCCTCCTTATCATGTTCCAGCCCAAAACCCAGTTCATGAGTGTAGGTCCTTCGGCCCCTGCTCCAACTCGGGCCCCACGACCCAAGTCCATCAACCCATCTCCTTTTCTCGTGCTCAACTTTTGAACCTTAACCATTTCCTCCACAGACCCTCCTTGTTCTTGTCCTGCCGCTAGCGTAAAATTAACATCCCCTGTGGTTCGAGTCCTTCGCACCAGAAGACTCCTTAAGTGATCACGGCTATCTTCATCTTCACTCGCAGAGGTAGAGCGCTTGTCCTTCCACCGCAGATTTTGTCTCAATAAGACACCTCTACAGGCACCTTCTTTCTCCAACTCACTCGCCCAAACCACAATGTGAGTCTGGCTCCTAATAACCTCAAGCACCTTAGCACTGGTGTGCATCCCTTTACCGGCCAACTTCTCATCTAGATCTCCTTCCAGGCGAGTTTCATCCGTTCCTGTCTCAGCCACACTCATCATGGCCTCTCCGCCCTTGCCACTTCCTGACAATCCAGCAAGTCCGAGGTCGTCTGTAGAAGGGGTCACGATGTCAGCTAACTCAGACATTCGGTTGCAGAGCACAACCCTAGAGTTGGATAACGAAACAAGACCTTTCATCTACCATTCCCCTTTTTAGTTTTCATAGATTGGCACTTCCCAAAGAGTTGGCGCCGTTACCAAAACAAAACCCTTACGCTTTCACACTTGACTGCCGCTGAAGGCGGCGACGGCTGAGGCTAACAATTGAGAAGTCCTTTATTTCAGTAATGTCATGGAGAAGTCCTTTATTTCAATTTCCTGGTGAAGCTTTAGCCCCTGTGCTTGTTGAAGACAAAGTCATTCAAAATCAATTTCCATATCCTGATGAAGATTCAGTGATGTGCTTGTTGAACAAGAAGTAGTTCAAAATATATTCTGTATATTTTTTCTAGAGTTTATTGGTCTTAAATTTTTTAAAATTATGAATAACAGTTGTGTCTAACTAACATGAAATAAAACTGGAATCTAAAGTAAAAGCCAATCAGTGGAGCAGGGCTTCAGCATCACTTATTTCTGGGGATTTATCCGTTTTAGGTACCCTTGTTGAGGAGACGTAATGGCTAGTATCTTCACATTCTTCATTTATATCATCACTAAAAAAGGTGGTCACATCATCAAATGCCCATTCTGTCAAGTATGCAGGCTTAGAATTTACTCTACTCACTTCCATATCTCCACAAAGCATAGCAATCACGCGGGACATCAATGGCCTCGAGGAGGGCAATGTCTGAGTACACAAAAGCGCTACTCCTATTAGGTCTTTAACTTCTTTCTCACATAATTCTGATAATTTTGAGTCCACTAGTTCGAGTTGGCAGTTGTTCTTGTGTAGGTGCCAAGCCTGGGAATTAAGTAGAAAAGATAGAAGTTGGATAAGGAGGAGAAGTAGAAAATAAAAGAAAAAGGTTATATATATGTGTGTGTGTGTGTGTGTGTGTGTGTGTATACACACACAAATTTGGCCTTGTTTGGTTCTTTCAAATTTGTTTATCAAGTACTAGAAAATAGTAAAAAGAGAAAAAATTGATACTGCAATGTCATCCATACCCAACCAAGAAGATACTTCTTCCCTTCTTCCAAGCTTGAATCCCAGTTTGGCCTCCCACTAACAACCTCTAGAATCATAATGCCAAAGGCAAACACATCAATCTTCTCCGTAAGATGTCCACGTATGACATACTCCGGTGCAAGATATCCACTACATCAATACAATAGAGGCAAAATTCATTTCAGTAATCTAATGAATGTAAAAACATAATATTCTAATAAATTTTAGGTGTTAATTATAAAGGGCTTACAATGTCCCTGCCACATGAGTGCTTATGTGAGTCTTCTCATCTTCAAAAAGTTTGGCCAAACCAAAATCTGATATTTTGGGAATGAGATTACCATCAAGCAGAATATTACTGGTTTTCACATCTCTGTGTATAATTCGAAGCCTCGATTCCTCATGAAGATAAGCTAGACCTCTTGCTACTCCCAAACAAATATCATAACGCGTTGACCAGTCAAGGACCAAGCTTTCTTTTCTTGCTTTGCAAAATTCACAAAAGTTTCAATTGTTATTGACATGACAAATAATGCTAGGACTCACAAGAAAAGCTTGGTACTACATATATGCTATTCACATACCAAATAGAGCTTTATCAAGACTGCCGTTTTCCAGATATTCATAAACAAGCATTCGTTGTTCTCCCTCATAACAACATCCATGAAGTTTTACTAGGTTACGGTGCTGCACGACAGATATGGTAGCAATTTCTGTAGCAAATTGGTTGTTCCCGTGGTCAGATGCTATAGATAATTGCTTCACAGCAATTACTCTTCCATCACTAAGCGTTTCCTGTTGTGTAAATTGTTCAACTTGAAATGATGAGAAAAATCAGTTAACAGTTGATCAATTTTAAATGATTATAATTGACCAAATACCACATCCTGTCTTTATTTAATGAACCAAAGAGAACAGAACTCAAGGAGCCAAAAAGATTGTGTTTTCAAGTTAATCTAGGACAAAAAGTAATGCTGAAACTTGTATTTAGCTCTAGAAAAAAAAAAAACAGTTTATCTTAAGGCACCAAATGTGCTCACTACTCATTTGGCATTGACTAGAACAATGACTTACCTTATAAACCGGTCCATACCCTCCTTGTCCAAGCTTATTTGCAGAACTAAAGTCTTCTGTAGCAGTCTTTAGTTCTGCATAACTGAAAGTGTATGGTCTAACATCCATGCTGAGAAGCTCTAAAAATCAACAACAAACGTCGCTTACTATCAAGAACTTAGTTCCATATATTTGAAAAAGTTGGCATAGTTCTGTTCCTTTTAATTAACCTAGAATCCAAGTTCTTATCCTAGAATCCAAGTTCTTGTCTTGTAATGTACTTAAGAACTTACTAATGGAACTTTACTTTATGAATTGAGCAAGCATTAGTAAAATATATTGTTCTTTTTTTTGTACAATAGCTTTCTTGTGCTTGAGCTAGAGTTTACTTGATAAGTTGTGTAACTCACCTTCTTATTCAAACATTTTAAAAGGATTAAGTCAACATATGGCTAAGATGCCAATCTAAATAAAGACAAGAACCAGATGCAGACTAACGACAGTATTTTTATCGCTAGTAAGTATGATAGATAAGATGTCAATGATAGCAAAGATCTTTTGATTTACCGTTATCAACCATCTGTGGCCTTTTTCTTCTTCGGACAACAAAGAAAATTACAAGTAACAGAAATACAACCCCAACAACAACAACAATCCCCACAATTAGGCTTGTTCTATTCTTCTCAGTGGTTTGAGTAGGCTTGAAATCTGTATCAAACTCAGTAATTTACTCAACATCTTATATAATGCAAGGAAATCAACCAAAATGTGGAAAAAAGGACAACAAGGAAGTTACTATTTATTGAACCTGGGGTAGCACTGATGGCCGAAATAGAGGGTCCATATATATAGTCAACAGAAAAGCGAGTCCCTTTCCCAGCCCAAAAAAAGTGGATTTCCATGTAGTTTTCAGATACATGAGCCTGATATTCTCTTTGAACTGCTCTTCTAATGACTCCACCCGCTGCCCTTGTTATGTCAAAATCTTTTTCAACGAGATTTCCCTAGAATAAACATATTTAAATGTTGAAAAAAAAAAAACAAAAACAATTGAAATGGAAGATATTGGAAAACAAATTACATATAAGGCCCAGAACTATGTGATGTATAGGTGAGGCGTATTTGGCTAAAATAATATGAATATTAAAACATACCTGAACATATATATTGAAAACACGCCTCCCCAAACTTTTCCATCCGGTAGCAGTGAAATTAGCTAATTCTGCAAACTGGAGAGTCACAATGTACTTTCCATTTTGAAGGCCTAAACCATAGTATCTTAAAGATGAAGCAGAAATTCGAGCTCTTTGGAAAAGTATCGACTCTTTAGTATTTGTGACTATAGGCCCAGAACTAATTATATACTCTGCATTATAGTTCTCAAAGTATCCAACATTACTAACTCCCCAACTATTTGTGTTTGCCAAATAGTATGCAGCTGGACCAAGAGGCTCATTGTCACTCTCATACACAATATTGCTCAATGTAATTTCTGAACCGCCACAATTAATTGCAAAGCTCGAATCTGCATACCAATGTAACCTCTTATTAAGGTCAAACATTAAGAATATGTATGTCTAAAAGTTTGATTGAATTAAAAATTTGAGTGAGGGTGACTAAGGAAATAATGACGATAGGTAATATGTAGGAGCGGCTTAATTGCAAAGAAAAGTGAAAAATCTTGGTGTCTTATATCTTAGTCAAATAGAAAGGAAAAGAAAAGAAGATAAGCTTTCTCTCATTCTTACTGATTTAGGTACGGTTGAGAAGAAAATAAGGAAAAGAAGAGAATGAGGAGAAGGAAAGAAAAAAGAGAAATAGTAGAAAAAATGGGTTAGGTTAAAATAGAGAGTCACACAATAATTTATTAGAATTGGACAATATTTAATTGGTTAGATTTAGGATTGACAATTGATATCAAAGTCGGTTCATGACTCAAAAATGTAATGTGACGATCTCACGAGGAGAGGTCCATAAGGTAAAGAGTTTGTTACATCCCACATTGCTAGCAAATGAGTTTAGAATTTAATTTATAAGGCTTAGGTCCTTATAACTAAGTAGATGTATTTTGGGTGTTTGACGGTTGTGTGAAGCTAGAAAGCAAACTCATGCAAGCCTACATCCAAATGATTAAATCTGGAGGATAAAATCTATTTAGTTGGACCCTATTCAAAGCCATGAGGATAGATATAATATGAAAATATATAATCATTTGAAGTTGTATGAATTGATGTATTTAATAAATATTGGTGTGGACGAAGATCACATGTTTGTTGTGTATGTTGTTAGACTTGGCAAACGGGCAAGTACAAGCTGGGTTATGACAGGTACGAGTCAAACGAGTACCAGACCCATGGGTCAAAAATTTGAACAATAAGGGAATACACCACCCATACCTGGTCATGCGGGTAAGGGTCTGCTTGGGAGTTTTTTTTTCACTGGTTTTGGGGGGTTTTTAATTAGACTGGTTTTGAGGTGTTTAAAAACCTCCACTTGCCAGATTTTTAATAGGCTGGTTTTGAGGGGTTTTAAACCCCTCAAAACCAGTGTAGTGTATTTTTGAGGGGTTTATAAAACACCCCAAATCGGGGTGTTTTCACTGGTTTAAAACTTTTATCCCCAAAAAATCCCTTTCCACTCCCTTTTACAAATATGTCGCTGCTGTAGATTCTCTCTAGCACACAAATCTCTCAAATCTGTCATTGCTGCACACGAATGGTTTTAATTTGCTGCACACAAAGCCCTTTGCCGCACACAACTCATTTGGGTTTGTATTAGATTCTCCTCACTTTCAGCAAATTAGGCGTCAACCAAGAGAATAATTACGCGAGATAAGGTGATTTCCCATCTGGGTTCTTGCTTCTTTTATGGATTTGTCAATGTATTTGCATGATTGAATCATCGTCACTTTTGCTTCTGTTGGTATTTTCTTGTATGAATTACTGCTTGGTAGGAAGAAATCCCAAAACCTGTTGATTGTCATTCTTAAATCAAACAACCCAAAGCTATAATAGATATTCTCAGACTCAGTGTTAGGCTATACTGTTGTTAGTCTTACATGATGAAGGGCTGTGCCTGACCTACATTGATTAAGATTATGAGTTTGATATACTTCATATACTTTCTGGGCAGTGCAGTTTTTATTAACGTTTGCGTGAAGCTTGAAAAAATTAATTCGGTATGTTACTGTGTTCTAAACTTCTCTCAACTGTTCCTCATTTGTTCCACCCAATAAAGATGATAATTTGATGAGGGGTTAGCAGAGTAGGTGGGTGACATGAGATGGCTTCAATGGAAGATGTATGGAAAAGTCAATGGAAGAGAGACGGTGTTGGATCAAAAAGGGCTATCTGGGGTAGTAAGTTTAACCAGACTGGACATTTGTGGAGCTATCAATTGAGTTTAACCAAGACTAAGACATTTGTGGGATATCAATTATTGTTCTACGTGATTATGTAGTATCTTATAGTTTGCACTTTGCTGTACAAATAAAAGGATTGCAAACACATTGGCAATATATCAGTACCTGGGATCTGAATATAGGCGTTGGCTGAAATGGAGAACAAAATTATAGATAGCTAAGTGGCCCATATGGTGGCTAGCATGATTGATACCATGAACTGATGTCTTCTTTGCTTCAACACCAATAGTGCACCCCCCCCCCCCCCCCCCCCCCCCCAAAAAAAAAAAAAAAAATGATTGACCCAGTTTTTATTCTTTGACACTTTATCGCAATTAGCTTTTGAAAAAGAATTGACACAAGACAAGTCATAGTAAAGTTTTTGCAATGGTAAAAATGTGTGATGCCTCTGGGCATTGAGATTTAGCCAACTTCAGCAGGAAAGCTGTTTCATATGGGACATTATATTGCTATACTTTTTGTCTTTTAATCGTTATTGAATAATAAATCTTTTGTTGTGTGCTCATTCTTATTTATTAGTGGCTGACTATGATGACTTAAATAATGATGATTTGATCTGTACGCTATCATTGTATACACATATTCATATGATGTTTCTACTACTTTGGATGTGTTTTACACAACAAACCACAGCACGAACTACTTCACGTTTGAGTAGAATTAATGTGCAATAGCTTGCAAAGTGAGGGAATTCGGATGAAATAATGCAACGTATTGCTGGACCAAGTGGTAGACATTTGAGAGAATGGGTCCGCAACATTTGTAGAATTTGTCGAATTTTAGCAACGGAAGGGGGGCTTCGTTCAACTCAACGAGCTACATTGAAGAACAAGTTGCTAAATTCCTTTGGATATTAGGTCAAGACACTAGGCATAGTGCCTGTTCATTGCTTTTCCATCGCTCCGGTGAGACGGGTAGTCGTCACTTTCATAAAGTGTTGGAAGCAATCATAGAGTTAGAGGATAAATACCTCTTACAACCAAAGGGACTCAAGTGCCACTGAAATACAAAACCATAGTAGATTCTATCCATACTTTCGGTAACAACGCAAGCATAACACTTTAAATATATACTAGTACTTTTACCTAATAGATAAATAAGACAGGATGTGTGGGGGCAATAGATGGCACGCATATTCGTGTTAAAGTACCAGTTGTACATGCTGCTAGGTACCGTGGTAGGAAGGAATATCAACTATGAAGTTTTGGCTGCTTGCACATTTGACTTAAAATTCACCTATGTGTTGATTGGGTGGGAAGGAACTGCTTCTAACTCTAGGATAATGAAAAATGCCTCACAAGAGATACACTCCATATTCCAACAGGTATTAGTTTGAAATTGGTTTGTTTTGCATTTGAATATTATGTTGACAATAAATGTGGTAATGTAGGAAATTTATCTTGTGATGCGGGTTCATGCTTCGAAGTGGTCTCATCACACCTTACATAGGAGAGCGTTATCACATTAAGGAGTACTCACAACGAAACCCTCCTAGAAATTCTCGGTGAGCTATTCAATCATCGACACTCTTCATTGCGCACAGCAAAGAGAGAGGTTGGTGTACTCAAGAAACGTTTCCCCATTATTGGAAGTGGGACTGAACCGATGTACAACATTCAAACACAAAAATTGTGTCGCTTGTTGCATAGTTCATAATTTTCTCATGGGAGTGGATCCGGATGAAGGTCTCATTGCCGAGGTTGATGCAGAAATGCTAGGGAACCTATGAGCATACAAACCATGCCCTTAATTTAGTAATCATGAAGATGCAAGAAAAGGAGAGTTAATTCGAGACTCAATAGCAAATGCAATGTGGGAAGCATACATTTGAACCAGCATGAATGCCAATTACATTTGTGTTGTACTTTTTCAATGTACTTTTTTTTTTCTTTTGGTTTAATAGTAAATGGTGTGATGTGGTGTAGTGACTTGCTATATGCTTTATAATAAGTTGGATCATTTGTATTGTATTGTAATCCTAAATAAATTATGTTGTTTGTAAACTTTTTCTTTTTTGGATAATTATGCCTTACAGGAAAGTGATGCCTCACAAGGTGAAGAAGAAATCAAATATGCGCTGGACCCAATAATGGATGATATTTCATTGATGCCTATTTGGATGAGCATATGCAAGGAAATAGGGGGGAGGGACCTTCAATCACAAGCCCATGACCAAATATTGCAAACAATGAAGAAAGAGTTTCCAAATATCATATGGGAGAAAAAAAGATCCAAACATATGAAATTATCAAGAAATCATGGGCATCTTGTCATGTATTTTTAAGGATGGATGAGTGGTTTTGCATTGATCAAACTATTTCGACATGGCATGTTGAACTAGAAGTGTGGGACAAACTTATCGAGGTGGGCTTATGTTTAATTGTTTACATACACTTTAAATATGTTTGTTGGAGAAATTATATTGTTACTTACCATGTGTGTATTTTTATATAGTCAAATCCTAGTGTTGTTGAATGGAGAAGCAAGCCTGTATATAACTAAGACAAGTTGTGTGAGCTCTTTGTAAAGGATAGGGCGAATG